CTCTCTCTCTCTCTCTCCCCCCCCCATCTTCCCCCTTCCTCTGCCGTTTTCTCTATCTGTTTCTGTGTTTTGCATTCATTCAACGTCTCTTCTCTAGCCCCTTCTCCCCCTGCATTCACCCCTGCATTCACCCCTGCATTCATCCTTGCATTCATCCTTGCATCCATCCTTGCATTCACGCCTGCATTCACCCCTGCATTCACCCCTGCACTCAGTCCCACGTTCACCCCCACATTCACCCCCACATTCACCCCCGCATTCACCCCTGCGTTCACCCCCGCGACACCCGCGTTCATCCCTGCGTTCACCCCTGCATTCACCCCTGGTTTCATTTAGCTGCCTGTTCCGCAGCCGAACGTACTCATTTGCAATTATTGTTGCCAATATGGTTTTGATCACAGGAAGCGTGTGGTATCAGGTGTTCAACCGACAGGAACGATTCATCTTGGAAATTACCTTGGGGCAATCAAGAACTGGGTGACCTTGCAGGTGAGCGATGGTGCCTTCTTTTAGGGCAATCAGAAGAACTGGGTTACGTGGCTAAGTCAAAGACAGAGCAACTGTTGAGTAAAACAATCCACTAGCACTGGTCCTCACAGAGTGGCCATTATGTGATCATGGTTTGAGGAAATGATTTCTTAGTGTTTTGAAATGTGGGTCGGAACTAGAGACCATCAGATCTGGCGAACCTTAAGTTGGCGGATGATACAACCGTAAAGCAGACCACACAACGTCACCTGATTCAAGATGTAAAGAAATAAATGATTAAAAGGCTAATAAAAGCCTAATAAAAGGTACAAATTTACGAAAAGCACATCAAAGCTGTTGAGTTACTTGAGGTACAGCAATGAAATTAGAACTTCCACAGGCAACAATGTGACTTTCGGCGACACGTTTTGCCCGTCCCCACTGAATCCTCAGAAGGATGACCACTGTCTTGATCGCTTCCTCCTCTAGTCCTCGCTTCCCCTTTCCACGCAGCATCGTGTGCAGCCGCCCACTGACACGTTTTTCCCATCACCGCTGACTCCTCAGGGCAATGACCACTACCTTTGTCCCTTCACCCTCTAGCACTCTCTTCTCTTTTCCGTGCATCGTTGTGTGCAACTCGCGTGTACGAACGTCTGCAGGAGACCTGATTGTTTTGCTGTATCTCAAGTAACTCAACTGCTATGAAGTATTCGCGTTTTGCGATTTTCAATCGTGTATATTAATATATTACAGCCCGAGTTGTGTGATGATGTTTGCTGTGATTTGCGATTGTATCATCTACAGCGCTTGTAGTCTAGTGGCTCTTGAGTCTTGACCCTAAAACCTAAACCCTAATTTAGACACCTTGGTACTTCTCAGAGGGCAGACAGAAATCGCTATTCACTTGTAATGAAAGAGTGAGAAGTTGAAAACTCATATTTAACTTTCTTTTTTTAAGTTTTTTTATTATTACTTTAGTGATTCAGCTAGCCTAAACCCTCAGGGCCTCGCTCCACCACTCACCACATGCACAAAAGACAAATTATGGCGGTGTATCTTCGCATGTTCTAGCGGGAGATTCTCATTTTACATATTTGGCGAGTGGTGCAGCGAGGTCCTAATTCCTAAACAGTGAAGTTACGCAGGGCGGTAGATAGGGCTTGGAAGAATCGGCGGGGAAGGAAGAACCTGTTGAGCTTGACTCTAGTTTGACTCTGTGAAATGACTTGAGGGGTGTATAATGCAAAGGGGGAGCTTTATGACGCAAGTGAAGTACGGCTTCAATTAAAAAAAAAAAAAAAAAAAAAACACCACCAACAACAACAATGGTGAAGTTACTTCCTCATTTTTTTCTCGCATTTTTTTTTATTTTAAAGAGGAATAGCTCCTGGGACTTTCTTGAATGGATTCACACTGCAAGCTTTCCCAGTCCCAGTTACAGGGTCCTACATCATCCCAGTCCCAGGCCCCTGTCGATTAAAATCTTAGGGCCTGTAGGATCAGGCGTAGCAGGCCGGTTGGCTACAGTACCGTACAGTACCTGTAGGAGCATGTCAAGTCCCCAAAAGTACAATTTTGCAGCAGCCTCACAAGAAAGTTGGGAACTTTCCCAAAATAGCAATTTGGCAAGGCAGAGGCCGAAGGAGGCCAGTACCGATTGAAGCAGGAACGAAGCAGTCCACTGCAACTATATATCTTGGACTACAGTGCCAAAAACCGATTGAAGCAGGAACGAAGCAGTCCACTGCAACTATATATCTTGGACTACAGTGCCAAAAGGGTCAGTTGTTCATTTCGCAGGCGTTGCGAGAGCTTGTGGGATCAAGCGACCTGGACAAAGAAGGAGCACAAGGGGGAGAAGTGCGCAGTGCCTGGCTGCTACAGTCAGCCATAGCCAGGCGAGAGGGGAGAGGTTCCCCGGTGGCCATAGCCGCCCAGGATCAGTAAGGCACACCGTAGTAGCATTCAGGGTAGATCTAGGACGTCGAGAGAGGAACAGTCAGTGAGGAACAGTGAGGGAGGAACAGTGCAAGAGAGAGAGAGAGAGAGAGAGAGAGAGAGAGAGAGAGAGAGAGAGAGAGAGAAGAGAAGCAGCCGAGGAAGGAGGAAGTTTCGTGTGCCGTTCAAGAATGCTGTGGGCATGCCATAAGATAAGGAAATTCCGTTCAAGTATTTCATATCTGTTGAAATGTGAACAAATTGAACATTTTTTAAATTCATCCTGATTTGAGATTGAAATTATGGTGTCCGCAAAAGACCTGGTGTGAGTATATTCCCTAAGAGACGGAAATCCATTCATATTTCATGCACTGTTCATGTTCAAACTTGCAACCGCACGGCCGTGCAGTGCAGTCCGCAGTGCGCTGCGCAGCACCTGCCCGTGTGCCGCACCAGAAACATTTTTTATTATTTTGTTATTATTACAAGGAAAATGAGCGATAGCGAACTTCAGAAATCAAACAGCATCATACACATGAGACCAGATAGTCGTGACCTTGAACCAATACCAGAATTGCATCACGAGTTCCACCAAATAAGAACACAGCAAAAGCTCATAATTGACAATGCTGGAATAGTCTCATCATCATCATCAACAAAGAACCAATGTCGATATCCTATCTGGCGCTCGGCGCCCAGACTACAGATGGCAGACCCTATCTAGCCTAATCTACAATGCCGCTGATGACGTCAACAGCTCCCCGAAGTACGAGCAGATATCGGCCAATGCCGTATGCTTCAAACACCAGGTATGTCTCTCGTATCAGTCCTTGACCTAAAACGGCCTGCCTGGGTCCCTACCGGACGTCCAGGCCCTGTCCAGGATTCAGTTTCCTGGTACCTGGCTTCGAACTGGTCCTGTGCGGACGTACCCGGCCTCAACGTCGGCCTGGGTCCGAACAGGTAGCAATCTCTTCGAAAACAAAAGAAAAGGTCCAAACGTTTTTAGGAGCTCAGCCTCTGGGCCTGAATCTGGCCCTGGTCCTAAAACGTGTACCTGGCCACAAAACGGACAACAGTACAACCGTTAGAAAA